GGCATTCGGGAATGTTACTACGGCCTTAGGGAATGTTACTACGGGCATAGGAAATGTTACTACGGGCATAGGGAATGTTACTACGGGCATAGGGAATGTTACTACGGCCTTGGGGAATGTTACTACGGGTATTGGGAATGTTACTACGAGCATAGGGAATGTTACTACGGCCATAGGGAATGTTACTACGGCATTAGGGCATGTTACTACGGGCATAGGGGATGTTACTACGGCCTTAGGAAATGTTACTACGGGCATAGGGAATGTTACTACGGCCTTGGGGAATGTAACTACGACCACATAGAATGTTACTACGGCCTTAGGGAATATTACTACAGTCTTAGGGAATGTTTCTACGACCACATGGAATGTTACTACGGGCATATGGAATGTTACTACGGCCTTAGGAAATGCTACTACGGGCATAGGGAATGTTACTACGGCCTTGGGGAATGTTACTACGACCATGGGGAATGTTACTACGATCATATGAAATGTTACTATAGTCTTTGGGAATGTTATTATGGCCTTAGGGAATGTTACTACGACCATAGGGAATGTTACTACGGCCTTAGGAAATGTTACTACGGGCATAGGGAATGTTACTATGGCCTTGGGGAATGTAACTACGACCACATAGAATGTTACTACGGGCATATGGAATGTTACTACGGCCTTAGGAAATGCTACTACGGGCTTAGGGAATGTTGCTACGGCCTTGGGGAATGTTACTACGGGTATAGGGAATGTTACTACGAGCATAGGGAATGTTACCACGGCCCTGGGGAATGTTACTACGGTCATAGGGAATGTTACTACGGCTTTAGGGGATGTTACTACGGGCATAGGGAATGTTACTACGGTCATAGGGAATGTTACTACGGCTTTAGGGGATGTTACTACGGGCATAGGGAATGTTACTACGGTCATAGGGAATGTTACTACGGCTTTAGGGGATGCTACTACGGGCATAGGGATTGTTACTATGGCCTTGGGGAATGTTAATAAGACCACATGGAATGTTACTACGGGCATAGGGAATGTTACTACGGCTTTATGGGATGTTACTACGGGCATAGGGATTGTTACTACGGCCTTGGGGAATGTTACTAAGACCACATGGAATGTTACTACGGTCATAGGGAATGTTACCACGGCCTTGGGGAATGTTACTACGACCACAGGGAATGTTACTACAGTCATAGGGAATGTTACTACGGCCTTAGAGATTGTTACTACGGGCATAGAGAATGTTACTACGGCCTAGGGGAATGTTACTACGGCCTCAGGGAATGTTACTAAGACCACATGGAATGTTACTACGAGCATAGGGAATGTTACTACGGCCTTAGGGATCTTTACTACGAAATTAGGGCAAGTTACTACGGGCATAGGGAATGTTACTACGGCCTTAGAGAATGTTACTACGGCCTCAGGGAATGTTACTACGGGCATAGGAAATGTTACTACGGGCATAGGGAATGTTACTACGGGCACAGGGAATATTACTACGGCCTTAGTGAATGTTAATACGGCCTTGGGGAATGTTACTACGACCACATGAAATGTTACTAGGGCCTTAGGGAATATTACTACGGCCTTAGTGAATGTTAATACGGCCTTGGGGAATGTTACTACGACCACATGAAATGTTACTAGGGCCTTGGGAAATGTTACTACGACCATGGGGAATGTTACTACGGGCATAGGGAACGTTACTACGGCTTTAGGGGATGTTACTACGGGCATAGGGATTGTTACTATGGCCTTGGGGAATGTTACTAAGACCACATGGAATGTTACTACGGTCATAGGGAATGTTACCACGGCCTTGGGGAATGTTACTACGACCACAGGGAATGTTACTACAGTCATAGGGAATGTTACTACGGCCTTAGAGATTGTTACCACGGGCATAGGGAATGTTACTACGGCCTAGGGGAATGTTACTACGGCCTCAGGGAATGTTACTAAGACCACATGGAATGTTACTACGAGCATAGGGAATGTTACTACGGCCTTGGGAACTTTTACTACGAACATATGGAATGTTACTACGGACATAGGGAATGTTACTACGGCCTTAGGGATCTTTACTACGAACATAGGGAATGTTACTACGGGCATAGGGAATGTTACTACGGCCTTGGAGAATGTTACTACGGCCTCCGGGAATGTTACTACGGGCATAGGAAATGTTACTACGGGCATAGGAAATGTTACTACGGGCACAGGGAATGTTACTACGGCCTTGGGGAATGCTACTACGGCCTCGGGAATGTTACTACGGCCATAAGGAATGTTACTACGACCATAGGGAATGTTACTACGGCCTTAGGGAATGTTACTACGGCCTTAGTGAATGTTAATACGGCCTTGGGGAATGTTACTACGACCACATGGAATGTTACTAAGGCCTTGGGAAATGTTACTACGACCAAAGGAAATGTTACTATGGCCTTAGGGAATGTTATTATGGCCTTAAGGAATGTTACTACGACCATAGGGAATGTTATTACGGGCATTGGGAATGTTACTACGGCTTTGGGGAATGTTACTACGACCACAGGGAATGTTATTACGTCATAAGGAATGTTACTACGGCCTTAGGGAATGTTACTACGGGCATAGGGAATGATACTACGGTCTTAGGGAATGTTACTAAGACCACATGGAATGTTACTACGGTCACAGGGAATGTTACAACGACCTTAGGGAATGTTACTATGGGCATAGAGAATGTTACTACGGCTTTAGGGAATGTTACTACGGGCATAGAGATTGTTACTATGGCCTTGGGGAATGTTACTAAGACCACATGGAATGTTACTACGGTCATAGGGATTGTTACTACGGCCTTGGGGACTGTTACTACGGGCATAGGGAATGTTACTACGGCCTTGAGGAATGTTACCACGGCCTCAGGGAATGTTACTAAGACCACATGGAATGTTACTACGAGCATAGGGAGTATTATTATGGCCATAGGAGATGTTACTACGGGCACAGAGAATGTTACTACGGCCTTAGGGACTTTTACTACGAACATAGGGAATGTTACTACGGACATAGGGAATGTTACTACGGCATTAGAGATCTTTACTACGAACATAGGGAATGTTACTACGGGCATAGGGAATGTTACTACGGCCATGGAGAATGTTACTACGGCCTCAGGGAATGTTACTACGGGCATAGAAATGTTACTACGGGCATAGGGAATGCTACTACGGGCACAGGGAATGTTACTACGGCCTTGGGGAATGTTACCACGGCCTCAGGGAATGTTACTAAGACCACATGGAATGTTACTACGAGCATAGGGAGTATTACTATGGCCATAGGAAATGTTACTACGGGCACAGGGAATGTTACTACGGCCTTAGGGACTTTTACTACGAACATAGGGAATGTTACTACGGACATAGGGAATGTTACTACGGCCTTAGGGATCTTTACTACGAACATAGGGAATGTTACTACGGGCATAGGGAATGTTACTACGGCCTTGGAGAATGTTACTACGGCCTCAGGGAATGTTACTACGGGCATAGAAAATGTTACTACGGGCATAGGGAATGTTACTACGGGCACAGGGAATGTTACTACGGCCTTGAGGAATGTTACTACGGCCTCGGGAATGTTACTACGGCCTTGGGGAATGTTACTACGACCATAGGGTATGTTACTACGGCCTTAGTGAATGTTACTACGGCCTTAGTGAATGTTAATACGGCCTTGGGGAATGTTACTACGACCACATGGAATGTTACTAGGGCCTTGGGAAATGTTACTACGACCATGGGGAATGTTACTACGACCACATGGAATGTTACTAGGGCCTTGGGAAATGTTACTACGGGCATAGGAAATGTTACTACGGGCATAGGGAATGTTATTACGGGCACAGGGAATGTTACTACGGCCTTGGGGAATGTTACTACGGCCTCGGGAATGTTACTACGGCCTTGGGGATGTTACTACGACCATAGGGAATGTTACTACGGCCTTAGGGAATGTTACTACGGCCTTAGTGAATGTTAATACGGCCATGGGCAATGTTACTACGACCACATGGAATGTTACTAGGGCCTTGGGAAATGTTACTACGACCATGGGGAATGTTACTACGACCATAGAAAATGTTACTATGGCCTTAGGGAATGTTATTATGGCCGTAAGGAATGTTACTACGACCATAGGGAATGTTACTACGGGCATTGGGAATGTTACTACGGCTTTGGGGAATGTTACTACGACCACAGGGAATGTTACTACGGTCATAGGGAATGTTACTACGGCCTTAGGGAATGTTACTACGGGCATAGGGAATGATACTACGGTCTCAGGGAATGTTACTAAGACCACATGGAATGTTACTACGGTCGCAGGGAATGTTACTACGACCTTAGGGAATGTTACTATGGGCATAGAGAATGTTACTACGGCTTTAGGGAATGTTACTACGGGCATAGGGATTGTTACTATGGCCTTGGGGAACGTTACTAAGACCACATGGAATGTTACTACGGGCATATGGATTGTTACTATGGCCTTGGGGAACGTTACTAAGACAACATGGAATGTTACTACGGGCATAGGGAATGTTACTACGGGCATAGGGAATGTTACTACGGGCATAGGGAATGTTACTACGGCCTTGAGGAATGTTACCACGGCCTCAGGGAATGTTACTAAGACCACATGGAATGTTACTACGAGCATAGGGAGTATTACTATGGCCATAGGAAATGTTACTACGGGCACAGGGAATGTTACTACGGGCACAGGGAATGTTACTAAGACCACATGGAATGTTACTACGTGCATAGGGAATGTTACCATGGCCTTGGGGAATGTTACTACGGGCATAGGGATTGTTACTATGGCCTTGGGGAATGTTACTAAGACCACATGGAATGTTACTACGGTCATAAGGAATGTTACCACGGCCTTGGGGAATGTTACTACGACCACAGGGAATGTTACTACGGTCATAGGGAATGTTACTACGGCCTTAGGGATTGTTACTACGGGCATGGGGAATGTTACTACGGCCTTGGGGAATGTTACCACGGCCTCAGGGAATGTTACTAAGACCACATGGAATGTTACTACGAGTATAGGGAGTGTTACTATGGCCTTAGGGACCTTTACTACGAACATAGGGAATGTTACTACGGACATAGGGATTGTTACCACGGCATTAGGGAATGTTACTATGACCATAAGGAATGTTACTGCGACCATAGCGAATGTTACTACGGCCTTAGGGAATGTTACTACGGGCATAGGGAATGTTACTATGACCACAGGGAATGTTACTACGGACATAGGGAATGTTACTACGGAGATAGGGATTGTTACTACGGCATTAGGGAATGTTACTACGACCATAAGGAATGTTACTACGACCATAGGGAATGTTACTACGGCCTTAAGGAATGTTACTACGGGCATAGGGAATGTTACTACGACCACAGGGAATGTTACTACGGGCATAGGGAATGTTACTACAGGCATAGGGAATGTTACTACGGCCTCAGGGAATGTTACTAAGACCACATGGAATGTAACTACGGGCATAGGGAATGTTACTACGGCATTGGGGACCTTTACTACGGACATAAGGAATGTTACTACGGACATAGGGATTGTTACTACGGCATCAGAGAATGTTACTACGGGCATAGGGATTGTTACTATGGCCTTGGGTAATGTTACTAAGACCAAAGGGAATGTTACTACGGACATAGGGAATGTTACTACGGACATATGGAATGTTATTACGGGCATAGGGAATGTTACTACGGCCTTGGAGAATGTTACTACGGCCTCAGGGAATGTTACTACGGCCTCAGGGAATGTTACTACCTGCATAGGAAATGTCACCACGGCCATAGGACGTATTACTATGGCCATAGGAAATGTTACTACGGGCACAGGGAGTCTCGTACAATTTCATAGTAGTGTTTGTGTGCACACATATTGTTGATGATGTGTGTGACGTCACCGTTCACGACCAATGTACCTTGTGCAATTTATGCAATTCCAATCACTCATCGGATCATAACGGTTTTGCCATCATGTAATCTGTGACGGTTGGTCGAACGACATGCGTGGCCGCTATCGTATGGAATTGTACTACACTGTGAATTTATTCACTGAGCAGAGCATAGGCATACTTAGATACATACACGAATAATAATAACAATAGTAGTAATAATAATAATAATAATATTTCACAGTGCGATACTGTGTAGGAACATTGAACCGGCATGGCAGGAAGTGAAAATTGACGGCCCAATATTACCAAATCTATCAGAAGAAAGATTCTGTTTATCTAATATCTAAAAAGCAACTGAAATCACGAGGACAATTAGGGGTTATCGGGTGCGGCTTCTCTCATCTTTTCTTATCAGCGACTTAAGTCTCTCAAAAGCATCTCATGTATTTTCACTTGTTGGGCTGCTTACTGCGATATATAGGAGGTGGATATGGCTTCGACACCGAGTCATATCACTAAGTGAATAAATGCCATGCTAAGAGTACTGAATGATTAATCACATTGATAAGAACGCATCGTAAGAATTCATGACGTTGAGCTTGAATTTACAATTATTCGGTTTTAATTAACGATAATGTTCCTGTTACAAGTATGCAGATCGAAGAAATCGATAAAATAAAAATGTGTATCACTTTAGTCAAATTAACATTGGTATCACGTGATGATTCGTATTTATTTACTAAAGTTTAAGAAAATAAAATAAAAATATAATAGTGTTTCACAGCTACTTCGCTATATAAGTGTACTTATTAAAATGAGCAATTAATTTTCACAAATCTTGATAATTGGACTTGTCACATTATCATATCATTTTCTGGCACTATGCAGACCAAATGTTAAGTATATTATACTGTGCGCAGTAGCGACGGAATATGACTGAACCACGACGACTGGTAAGTATTTATATATAATACATAATGATTTATATTCATTGCTAAGCGCACGTCCAGCGAGAAAAAAAGGAGTTGCAATCACCATGTTAATAATGGTACTTAGTTGAGGACAACCTGACCTGTAACAGCGTCCAATTTATGTAAATGATTTACCACAAAATGACGACATTACCGTATCGATGCAGGCTATGTCATATACTATAATGTCATTGCAGACAGTACGAGGCCGTATCAATTTTGGCGTACAAGTACATAAGAATGTAGGACAGCAGAAGATTGTAGTTAGAACTCAGTTGTCGGAAATCATGTTACAAAACATTTCCAGATGTATTATCTTATGTCAAAACAGTCATTATATGTATATTATTTACTTTAATAAAACGAATTTCTGTTTAATCGATATGCCATGGCCAAATAAAATTGTTTTCTCTTAAAATAACGATTAGACAGAAATCCGTTTTGACTTTAATAAAACGGATTTCTGTCTAATCGCCATTTTACGATCAAACATTTTTATTTGGCCATGGCATAGTCAAATGAGCACAATATAAATTTGATATAACGGTAATTCAGTACTATACTATATACTGAAATCGGAACAAAAGCTTTTTGTCATCGAATGGGAGACACCATTTTGCATAATAAACACAATCATGTATGCCAAATACATTACAAATAAGGAAGGCGAGTATATGCTGTACATTTCTTTATTTACTACATATCATATTGTCACCAATGAGTACTATTTATCACATCTGGCTGTT